AAATAGCGGTGAGGGCAAAAAAGAAAAAAAAACGTGTGTTATCCTGGCATCTCTCTCATGTATTTGTACGCATGACTACCGTTTATCATTGCGTTTTAATGGATACCTGGCCGTGTTGGTATTTCAGAAAGCGAAAAAGCGGACCAAGCTGCCTGATATGGACTACAGTTGTATTTAAATTTCCGTTATAAAGTACAGTGTGGCCAATCCCCGTTGCGGGTATGAGCCAGGATCATTTAGGTGACAAACAAATGATTCCGGAATTTCAGAAAAATATTTTTTACCAATGCTCATTGATGCTTGGAACATCCGCAAAAAAGATATGTCGACCAAGAAAAAGACCGCCTTTGGAATTCGCCACTTCACAAAGATAGCTTTCTCAATGCATTGACTCAATTGTGAGCGCGAAAATGTCTCATTCACTACCTGGCGACCTATAGAGACGCTATATAATCGTCTTAGACTGAACGTGACATACACGAACAGGTATATGTACCGCATATAGGGCGTACCAAAAATCTATACCTGTGATAACTGTTCCAGCATATAGTCAGTGGGGCACATACTCGAATACCCTGCGTACCGCGACGAGAGACAATTGTTTCAACAAGAAATGGACAGGATCTGACACGAACAATTAACGTTGCGCAACATATTAGGCCCTATGCGCGGACCTTCAAAACAGCGTTGGGCCGTACTGTCATTAATCAGTTACCTGCCCCAAATCGGCCTTGTCGGTAGGCTCTAATGATACAATATCTCACGTGTAGGGAAGTTTTCGTTTACCTGATACCCTAATTGTGAATAGTATTATCAGGTTCACTTGTTCACAACTTTTATTTGCATTTTTCTTTTCTCTCTACTGAAATCTCAGTCCCCCTCCGCATCCTCATACAGATAAACTTGGGCCCTTCACTGCTTGGGCCCTTCCTGCTTCCTGCTTGGGCCCTTCACTGGGCCTGCAGTATTATATAAATAAATAAAAATAAATAAAAAATAAAAATAAATAAGAATGCCAGCGATATATAGGCGGCGGCATAAATGTATGTTTTGACGCCATAGCGTCAAAGAGCTCGTGTCGCAGGAAACCCGCCGCCGGCGTCGGCCACGTTGGTTGTGAGCGAAAAATCGTCTGTGCGTCTGTCCGAGATAGCCGCGGGAGGCTGCTACTTGTCCACGCGTGCGCGCGCGATCACACTGAATAAGCCGCGCATTCGAGGAAAAAAATAGTGCTCAAGGTCACGAGGCATGGTAGTTCCTTTGCCCCTGCCCCGCCTTCCTGCCTATAGCTTCCAGCGCTTTCGTCGGGACGAGAAAAGAGATGATGCAATTGCAGCATGCGACAAACCTCTGTGACTCCACTCGCATATGACTGACTCTCAAAAATTTTTGTGGCGTTGAATTCGTGAGGCAATAAGCTATTTTAGTGAAGTCATTCCATGGCTACTTGAAAGAGTGTTTCAGGGCCCCCCTAACGCACTTTGTTCAATAGGTTCACGACGAAAACGAGCCCAGTGTGCTAGTTCAATCTACTGTGTGCGTGTTTGTGTGCGTGTGTGTGTATGTAACAAAACATATGAATGAGTAGGCACTTAGCGGTTGAAGGGTGCACTAGGGGCCGGATTTTGCTATCGCGTTCAGCTCTTAAAGGCGCAGGAAGCTTAAGGGTCCCCCAATTTTTTTTTCTAATAAAGAGTATCTCTCCCTGTGTGTGTACTTTGTGTGGGATCTGATTCTACAATCTTATGTCTCCTCTATAGCGGGAGGGAGTATGCTCTCATCTCTCGGACTGTTTTAGTCTTTATTGCGCGTGCTAGAATGTCTCCGTTTTCTGGAGGCCATTACAATCCACCTACTTTCATATTGTTTGTTTTCGTAGGTGAGCTAGATGTAAATGGCGTCTGGCGGCGCTCCTCCCAGGACAGCCCAACAACGGGCGTGCGAGGGAGGCGCACGCGTGCAGTATTACGAGTGATGTCTTTTCCTACGCCTTTTCGCGACCCATCTCGGCCGGTTAGGGCGTCTAATGGCGTATACTTCGTAACTGCGCGGCTCGCGTTTCGCGACTGGCTAACGACTTCGTAGAATCTGTGCTGTCTTGCGCAGATTTGCGGGTGAATGTACTGACAGGTGGCAGCGTTGGAATGGAAATGAAGTCATCTATCTGTTTTCTGTTGTTTGTATTCTCTCCCCCACTCCCCCTTTTTTGGAAATTCCGGTAGACCACTGATGCATTATTTTCTTAACTTTCGTACTCGTTCGTATTTCTAATCTGCTTTGTTTTACTATGATCATTGTCCTTTTTCTACAATTCAACACTTTTTTTTGTCTTGCCTTTTCGCATTTCGATCTTAACGTGACACCAAACAAATTTATACACGACCGTCTTTCTTTCTTTCATATGAGTATGGTCTTTAACGGAATGGTCTGTCGAACCCAGAAACCGCAATGTGCGTTAATTCACCGAGGACGCGTACACTGGCCGGGGTATATATATATATAATATATGAAAAAGAAGGTGTCCTTGGATCCAGTGGAAAAATACAAAGTGGAGGACGGGCAAAACGAAAACTTTTTATTTTTCCTACGTTTCAGCCAGGGACCAGCCTTCATCTTCATCGTAAGCATATATATATGTGTGTGTGTGTGTGTGTGTGTGTGTGTGTGTGTGTGTGTGTGTGTGTGTGTGTGTGTGTGTGTGTGTGTGTGTGTGTGTGTGTGTGTGTGTGTGTGTGTGTTTACGGCGACCGTGTGCGATCAGGGGGCGTAGGTCAACAAGAGGAAGTGGAGCCCACTCACACTCACTCGAGGTACACATATTTTGTGCTTAGGACTCAAACTCGCAAAAACTTTCCTCGACATGAATGACTCTAACTCAGACTAACCAAAGCTTTAGTTACTTAACCGGACTCTCTCGGACTCGCTTACCAAGGCTTTCCTCGTGGACTCACTCGAACCCAAACTCAACAATGTTGTGCTCTGCCGGACTCATTCGGACTCAGACTTACCAAACCTTTCCTCAATTGAACTTACTCAAACTCACGCACCCAAGTTTACTCAGCCGGACTCACTCGGACCCCCAACTCTCCGAAACTTTCTTGAAATGGACTCATTCGGACTCAGACTCAATGATCGTTTTCTCAACAGGGCTCTTTCGAACTCAACCAGACTGAAATGTCACTCATCCGGACTCATCCGGACTCATCATACATTTAGACTCCTCGCTCGATATGAATATGAGTAAGCGAGTGAGTCGATTCGCGAGTATCTTTTCCGGCCTATATTTCAGGGGGCGATTTCGTGCGGACAAGCAGTTTGCCGTGATCGGCGCTCTCATGAGTTTTCACAAAGCCGCCATAATGGCGGGGGCGCGTTGTTCGCAACTGGGTCAAAGAACAGCAGCCGCGCCTGTCTGGCCCCGCTTTCTTCCGAGCAGTGGTGGGCGCATTCCTATCGGTTCTCGTTGTGCGATGTGTTATTCAAGGGGGGGTAAGCCAGCTGGGCGGGGAGGAAGGGGCGTCGGAATCCTGTTGTACTCCGCGGGGATGCGAACAAGTTTCTTCTCGCCACCGGTGCCTACGTGCGGCTCTCGAAAACGGTCCTTGCACGCATATAGTTCTCGCACGGTCTGGACCAGGGGGCGGGTGAGGAATCGTCCGCGTCACGCCAACCTTCGCAGCAGCATCGTTCGAGGGAGACCGACCCGTACTGCGTGAGTCGCATGGGGGTCTTTGAGCGGCTCTCGATCGTCCGGCGCTGCTGTTAACGTATTTAGGAACTGGCGCCCGCTCGAAGATCGTAAGCGCACGCGATGGAAGTGAAAAGGCGCGTACGGTCAGTCTGTGGTTAGATGGGCTAAGTTCGCTGCTTGCAGCTTATTTTTCTCGTTTGATTTTTTTATTTCCTGTTTTTATTGCGCACACTTACCTTAATGGGTTTGATATCCTCGGTAAAAATAACTTACGATTGAACTCAAATTTTCTCGAGCACGGGAATTCCTTATCTCTGCCGTAAGCACTCGCATGCTTCCAGCATTGCCTGAACTTGTCTAGTGTTTGGTTTCCGCTTTTATAATAATGACAGGATCTTCGTTCACACTGAATGCAATGATTCAGTTGTGTAACACTTTTTTTTTTGTTCTTTGGAGCCGGCGCGTTCTCCAGTTCGCGTTATGTTAGTGACATTTCGGTAAGATGGAATGCTGAGCTAGTTGATAAAGCTTGGCAGACAAGGACGAAAGGCAAAAATAAAGAAAAACACGGAACATGACGCTATCAGCTGAAATTTATTGAATGAACCTCGCGTGTCCGCCTCGTTGTTACGTTCCTCGGCTGCTGCTGGCGAATTTGATCTCGGCCATGGTGGTCGCGTTTTGACGGGGGTGAAATCCTAGAAGCCTGCGTACTGTGCGATGTTAGTGCTCGTTAAAGAACACCAGGTGGTCCTATATATACCCGAAGCCCTCCACAATGTGACGTCCTTCATAATCGAATCGTTGTTATGGGACATAGAAACCGAAATATTCTTATTATTGGATGAACCACGCATATAATAACGCGTACGATGTCGGCTTAAAAGCTTGAGCCCCAAAATCATTTTTGGCAACCAAGTGATTATAGCCGTCCGAGAAACGGCCCTCGCATTATCACTCACGAAACATACTTGCAGTTTTTTTTTGTCGGTCAGGCAGGGAACGGGCGCATCTGATACACATTCTGTGGGTTTGTCCTCCGGTGTCTTGACAGGGCCGCAGAATAGTTAATGGAGATCAGTGGGAGGCTCTACTGTCTAGCTCGGATCCCAAAGATTAACTCTGAGCCGTCCAGCCGGTGAGGGCCCAAGGGCTATTCGACGCCGTTTTGGCAGGGGCCTGTTCCCCAAATCGCTAGACCAAATAAAGCTACTTCTCTCGTTCGCATTTTGCTTGTCCGCCCGGATCGTTTGAATAGGACATCGGAGGTCTCTCATGCTCAGGGCCTGTTCATTCCCATGTTTTGCAGGCAGCGAGTCGCCGCCGGTGTGCGGCCATCCCGAGCCCCGGTTCGACCTGCCAGAGATCCTGGAGCCCGGAGGCGGGGGATCCGGGGCGGGCGACGAGTGCTACCAGGCGGCGGCCGAAACCATCATCTCGCACTGCCGGGAGAAGGCCAAGGTGATGGGCAACGAGATATCGGCACCCTACGAGGTGCCACACTTTCCCATCGAACTGGCCGAGTCCCGGAAGGTCATGCAGCAGCAGCTGTCCACCAGGTATGCGTTTTAGGTTGCTGTATGTATATAGGTGATCATATCATTGGTACGTCGCTCTCGCCGTCATTCTGGACGAGTTGTACGACTGAGCTTGTTCTTCTCTCGTATTGTTCTATTATACAAACTCCTTTATACATCATCATCATCATCATCATCATCATCATCATCATCATCATCATCATCATCATCAGCCTGACTGCGTTCACTGCAGGACAAATGCCTCTCCCATGTTCCGCCAATTAACCTGGTCCTGTACTTGCTGCTGCCAATTTATACCCGCGAACTTCTTAATCTCATTTGCTCACCTAACCTTCTGTCTCCCCCTAACCCGCTTGCCTTCTCTGGGAATCCAGTTAGTTACCCTTAATGACCTGCGGTTATCCTGTCTACGCGCTACATGCCCGGCCCATGTTCATTTTTTTCTTCTTGTTTTCAACTATCATATCCTTAACCCCGGTTTGTTCCCTAATCCACTCAGCTTCTTTTTTCTCTCTTAATGTTACGCCTACCATTTTCCTTCCCATTGCTCGCTGCGTCGTCTTCAATTTAAGCTGAACCCTCTTTGTAAGTCTCCAGGTCTCTGCTCCGTATCAAGTACCGGCAAGATGCAACTGTTATATACTTCCCTCTTGAGGGATAGTGGCAATCTACCTGTCATGATTTGAGAGTGCTTGCCAAATGTGCTCCACCCCATTCTTATTCTTCTAGTTTATTCAATCTCGTGGTTCGGCTCTGCGGTTATTACCTGTCCTAAGTAGACATAGTCTTTTACAACTTCTAGTGCACTATTACCGATTTCGACCGCTGTTCTCTTCCAAGATTGTTGTACATTACTTGCGTTTTCTGCAGATTAATTTTAAGACCTACTTTTCTGCTCTTATTGTCTAACTCCGTTGCATTGCTGAGTAACTCAGGGGACAAATTGCAACTCATGATTACGGAGTTAGACAAGGAGAGCAGAAAAGTAGGTGATATATATATATATATATATATATATATATATATATATATATATATATATATATATATATATATATATATATATATATATTAAGCGTGGAGCACTTTAGAGGCTCAGGCTTTCGCGTCGAGTGCTGTCATCGTCGATTGGCGTAATGCAGGCAAAACCACGCATAGCTGCAGCCAACTGTAGCATATTGAGTGCTCGCTCGCGCCAAAGAGAAGTGTTCTTCGGACGCCTTCACCACAAACCAGGTGTCAAAGTTGGGAGAGCAAGCAAGCGAAAATAGATAGAGAAAGAAAGAAAACAATGGGAAGAAAAATAGAAATTGAGAGAGAAAAGAGACAGAAAAAAGTGAAAAGCAGAAAAAAAAGAAAGAGAGGAGGAAATAAAGATTAAGAACTCCGCTCCGTTCTTGCTTCAGGTTTGACACTGATAGGCTGAAGCTGCCCTTTTTTTTTTAGTTTCGTGGATTCCCCTTTAGTACAAATCAGCAGATATGGTTCTTATGGATTGAAACACGACCTAGCTTCTACTACTTGTATACGCGCACTTGCTCGAGACAACGGCGTGATGCAGCTACAACAAGTATGGCTGCTATATATGTAATGTTGACCCCGATGCTATAGTATGCGAGTTCAAATGACGCCGATATGACACGAGCTAAAGATACGGAGGAAGTGAAACACAACAATTTCCCAAGCTTTTTATGCTTGGGAAACCGTTTACATTGGCATTTCTCATAAAACACAGTTACAGAGACCGATCCATTCGAATTGATTGTTTTTCGGTCTCTCGGGTTTCTTGTCTCTTCCACTGCAGTGGCTCAAGCACCAGTGCGCTCTCGTAAACGTCAAGATGTTACGGCTGGCTTTGTGTCACCTCATGTTCTGGCGCAATCAAATATTGGAGGAGGAAGAGGGGGGAGGGTTGCTCGTGGCACATTATTCTGATTTTAGATTTAACAGCAATAAATTCGCTACGCCAATATTACGTTTTCTTCCAATTGTCACAACGCGTGTACCCGTTCAAAACGTAATGGAGCTTGCTCTCGTTGGTGTATGCAGTTGAACTTTACGAAAAATATAGATAAGCTTGCCTATACGATGTCTCGCCTTGACCCGTTTCCGCGTTTTCGTACCGGCATCTTTGTTGGTGCGCCCGTGTCGTCACACTTGGCGTGTAACTCGAGCCCTTTTCTCTGACCTCCAACTGGCGAAATGCCAGTATATCTAGAAGCTACTCGAGCAACGAGCGAGATAATGCCGCGGGAATCGCGTTTCGCGCACTGACACAGCGAGCGCGATAAGGCGCAAGCACCGAGGAGTGCCTCTTAGCGATAGTGCGTTCATGCCTCCTCGCACAAAGCAGGGGAGTTCAAAGAACCACCGTGTTTTTCATTCGTGAAGCGAAGCGAAGCAAGCTAAAGCCAAGGCTCTTGATACCTGCAAGGGAAAGCGGATTCGAGGTAGCCGTCAGCTCGCCGTTTTAATGCCGTTTCCGGTGATTACCGCTGTTTTTTTTGTTTTTTTTTTACATGAAAGTGTTTTTTTGCCCGGGTCCAGCACGGCTCCATGACGTATTTCCGTTACGGATATGACGTTGTAAAATATTTGCTATCAGATTGCAAAGGACAAAAAAAAAACGAGAAGGAAATGTGCCGCAGTGAGGTCCAGTGATCTCGCGCTGCTCAGCGCGCAACGCTAACTACTAGATCACTGAGCGACCCCCCTCCAACATGTTGACGACGAGCCATTTATATACACCATGTACCCCTGACGGTCCTTAATGCTCGGAAATATCAGCGCTTTTTAGCAATCAGCAGCGATATGGCACGACGGGCGCGCGCGCTGTAAAGGTCGTCGTGCCGCGCCAACTATTGTTTGTACACCGTCATATGCGTATAAAAAGATGAGGCTATTGCTTTATTTTATTACCTATTAAATTAAAGAAAGAGATAGCTTTTTAGGGGCGAAGCTCCTTAGGGCGTGGGCTGTGCGTCCCCTGTAGCCTGTATGTAGCCACCTCTAGTTTAGTTCTTGCAGTGTTCACTAGATGGCGGTACCGTCCCCTGTATGTAGCCACCTCTAGTTTAGTTCTTGCAGTGTTCACTAGATGGCGGTACCGTCTCCTGTATGTAGCCACCTCTCGTTTAGTTCTTGTAGTGTTTACTAGATGGTGGTGCTTGTAGCTGATGATGAAAAGATGCAAGATGTTATAAACTAGAAAGCGGTACTTGTAGTTGATGAAAGACGCGAGATCTTATAAAATAGGAATGATGTCACATATGGCGCGTGTCATTGGTTGAAGGCAATCGTTCGATTTAGTGCGGCGACGTACGCTAGGGGGAGCGATGTAATAAAATCGAGTGGGCAAAATAAATGTACAGAGGATTCATGGTTTACCAGGTTTACCTCCGGAGCTTCGCCCACTCATCATCATTCACTTCGTGGATATGGCGGATTTTTTTTTCTTTTTTATTTTTGTTCTTTATATAGATTTGTACAGTAGACCGAGCACTATAATTTTTCATGTATCCTGTAATATTTCTATTCTAAGATATCCGTTATTTTAAAGCTTCATTATACTTCATAAAACCACTCAATTGTTGGCCGATCGCTTGCAGTTGGTGTGCGCCACAGCTAATAGGTCAACAAGAACAAGAAATAAACTTTAACAGAGCGCTTGATTGGGCTGGTTGGTGCTGCATAGTACACGAAGAAAGTGCTTAACAGCGCAAACGATAGGAGGAGATATAAGAAACGAGAACAGAGCGCTGAACTAACAACCAACGTTTATTGTGAACCAACTGCAATATAATGGAAAGAGAATCTGCGCATAACCACGCAACATAATCAGAATTCAACATAAATGCGCCATATGGCGTACATTAGCAATAACCGGTCATATCAGTGGACCCCAGATAACTAATTTCACAACCGTGAAGAATTAATTTAGGGTACGCTAACACAAAAAGCACCATGTTGTTGAATGTGGAAGGCTTCACTAATCTCGTGCTCGCGCTGATTTTTATGTCGCCCCATGTTCACACACTTGACAAGAATTGGCTGACACAACCACACTTTTTACAATGGTCCGCCAGGTGGCTGAGAACGGTGCTCTCTCAACCGATAGTTTATGCATCGGCCTGTTTGGCCAATGTAACAGAGCCCACAAGTAAACAATATCTTGTATACAATCGCTGAAGCACATTCAACATAGCGCATAGCGTGTTTCTTAGTGCATGCTTCTTTCCTATAGGTGCTTCGCTGTTGACCCTGCGACATAGCTCTTAGCGCTCTGTTCTCGTCTCTTCTATCCCCTGCTATCTTTTGCGCTGTTAAGCACTTCCTTCGTCTACTAAGAACAAGAACCAACGAATGACGTGCACGTTACCGGGAACCGCAACACAGTGCTGTAGAATTTATATACACACGTGTGACGTGGTTTGATTTCATAATACTCGGACAGAAACCTCAGACTGCTACCGCTCCGCCTCGGTACAGTTGTAGAGTCTTGTTTTATCTCAAGTACAAGTGCTTTTGTTTTTTTTTTACTTTGAAGTGGAGTAAACATTCTTTATCGCTGTGTTAAAAAAAAACATGTAAATATTCTACCCTTGGGTGTCCGTCGGCACAGCCATCGTTTGGCGCCCAGCCAAAGAGCGCCAGTGCAGTGGAGGCGTGGCGCGGAGGGGAAAACAGACCTTGTCCCTCGTATCTGACCCGTTGTCGGCCACTAGGTGGCGTTAACTTGTTTCGCCACTCGATACGGGATGTCACCCATATCTGGTTGCAGATAACGCGACTGATTCATGCCAGACACTATTTTTTAGCGGGAAATGAAGGCATGTTCGGCTGTAAAGAGAACTAGTGACCTTATTCGAACCGATCACGCTTGAATGTGATATTCAGAAGAGATAGAATGTAATAGAAGTCGGGGAGGTCGGCCGGAGCTAATGTTCTATGGCCTGCTGCTCTGCGTAGGCGAGAAATGAAAGGAGTAAAAAAAAAAAGAGTGATCAAGGGTGATTATGGGA